ATATTGGTATACTATGACCATTCAATGACATTACATTAGTATGATAACCTGGATTTGATGCTGCAACTAGGACAGTCAACTCAACCCCTCAACTTACAGCAGAATTATCATCGTGTTTGGGCTCATTGAATGGGTCTCGACGAGTAGTTGGCTTAGATACAAATGGTAACTTTTGGAGTAGGCATATTTGTATCGAGGGTAGTTCTTTAATTTTAAATCAATTAAGGTAGGATGGTCGACAGTGAATCAGGTGTACACTATGTACCGCGCCAATAACTCAGAAACGCGATACTGGAATTTGGTGCAAATCGCACTAGGTATAAATCTTCTACAGTGGGCACCAGTCTTATCCCAGTCGACAGCGAGCTAGCGGCACGGATGCCCTGGGGCGTCGATGTTTTTTATTTTTTTACCTTAAAACGGAAAAACGCGAGAGGAATTTCGAATTTCGTTTTGTTTGATTTGTATATAAGTAGGAGCTGCATTTTAATAGATAAAAGATTAGCCATCAATGCACTTTTTATTGAGGTAGTTAAATTTGTTACATATTCTGATAATGAACCACTTTAAAAGTGTACTTACACAACGTACCTATGACAACATAGTGATAAAATAAAACATGAAAATGTTGACTGCTAAATTAAAAAAGAAACGTAAACTAAGTGCTCGACTAAATTCTATTGTGGCACCTTGGCTCATTGTGTACCATTCCTCAGTACAATGAGTACCATAGGGTATGCACAATATACCATTTCTCTCTTTTTTTTAAAAAACATGTTTTCAGAAGCACTGACTGTATTTGGACCAAAACGAAGTACTACTTTATCATGTTTTAAATTATCTATAATTTTAAGCAAAACGTGTATAATTTAGGTTCATTGCAGCTCTTGAAAATGGTGGTTCAATGTCGACGACACTAACCCTTAAGAGAAGTTTTACTAGGAAGATTTTTCAGGTAAAACATGGGTAAAACCCGCTTATATTATAACTCTACCTACATTTCTATTTGCAGATACCCACCACTACTCACAGCAGAATTATCGTGTTTGGGCTCATTAAATTGGTCTCACCGGTAGTTGTTAGCTTACAGATGGTGACTTTATTGAATTTTGGGGTATACATTGCTTTGTATCGGTTTTTTTATTTTTAATATGTATTGTTACAGTTACATAAGATTTCAATTAAATAATTATTAATTGTATTGTAATTTAGACAGTGTTATTACCAATAACCCTACAGAAATTTTTTAATTATTATTTACCGCGTACAATGGTTTCCACCTACAATTTTATTACTTACCTATATTTTAAAACCGGGCGCTTTGGATAAAAACGTTTTAAAACCCGGGCGGGTAGATTGGGTTTTAATCCACTGCCCATCTTTGCACTCACGAACGTTAAGAAGGAGGTCCCTACTATCATATACTACGTGCACTTGCATGCAAAACTCAAATTGGCTACATGTGTCAGATACACGGAATTATCCAATGCTAGTTACGCGTAATTGCGCTATCCCTGACGATATGATATTTATTTTATAACAAAATGATAATCAGGAATATAAACTCCAAAACTAGATGGCACAAAAAAGAATTTTAGTTTGGAAATGTAACTGCGTTCTCCGGAGTTATAATCATTTATAGAAGAATGGTGCCGTAGGAACAATGAAACATCCTCGTAGGTTTCAAACGGTGGATAGACTATATCTATTTTGTTGCAACTGGAACGACTATTTCACATTATGAAAATTAAATGAAAGTAAACTCTAGAATAAGGCGCGTTTATGAAACAATTTAGAAACTTACAACACTTGAACATGAATGATTTCATTTGTATACTTATACTCTCTTTACCTGATATGAATTAAACCTACAAGGTCTAGCAAAGTTGGTCATGGCGAAGACTGAAAGCAGCGCAACCGTGGGAAACGCCATACGTAGCCAATCCTAGCTCTCCACGCTTATTGATCGTATAATACCTCCCAAGCTGATTTTCAGGTTTCTCCACTTACTTTTTCGTACATTACAATGTTTTGTTGAATACAGTATTAATTTTCATGACGTATACATTTTTTAGATACCAATAAGGTAGTTGTTTTTTATCATAGTTCCTTCGCTAGCTAGAAACATTTTTATCACCGAGTAATATAATTTGCAAACTAGTACGTGTTTGAGATTTGTTTAAACTGGTGTTTAGTAGTCCTGATAATTTGTGGCACTTTGGCAATCCATCCAAAAGAAATTCGTACCTGTATACTGGGTCACAGTAGGTACCTATATTATTTTTTGTTTACTGGTTATAGAGAGACGGGCCCTGATTTTAATTCAAATCGGAATCGATCTGATCGGGTAGCCCACCCACAATATTATACGCATCGACTCGGAAAAGACGCACTTTCCGATCGTAAGAGGCAATCAAAATCAAGCTGCTATATCTATGCCGTTAAAGTACTTTGGCCTAAAGGGTAGAGACAGCCATTGTAACCATAGACAAAGATGTAAGAAGACAATGTCTTAACAATTAATATTAAAAAACAAGATATTAAAATTTATAAACTCAGACTATTCTTTTTTTCCATCCTCTAAGCTTATAAAACAGAATAAAAGCGAGATTCGAACATCTCGACAATCCGCTATATGCACCCCTTGGGAACCTGAACATCTGTAACCACACGGAAAAAGCATTTTGTCTTCACTATCATTTTTACAAGGTTACTCTTTCAGACATATGGGTTGTACAAATACATGCCTTGTCTAATACACTCTTAACATTTATGAAGATACGTTCATATAAATATCTGTATGCGATGTCCAACGTATTATACATAGGGCGCACTATAAGTTTCCGGAACTGGCCACTTACAGAAATAATATTTAAAAAGTAATTAAAACGTTTGAAAATGGAACTCTTTGGCCGGAGAATACAATTTGTTTCATCTGACTGTCACTTGTTTTTACATTGTGGCGTCATTTTAGAAATTGGTTGTCTACATCACCATGAATTTAACTCGTGAAAATTTTAGTATTATGATTTTCTACGACTTTAAGTTAATTTAACGGCTCAGCGGAGCTTCGCTCGGCTTCAAACTGCTTTTGGCAATGCAGCACCATGCAAGACGACTATTTATAGTTGGTTTGGAGAATTTAAACGCGGTCGGGTGAATCTCAGTGGCGAATTTCGTGATAGTCGCCCGTCCACTGCTGTGAACAACAAAAACATCGATAATGTGCGCCGTATGATCAAAACAGACAGGTATGTGACATACCATGAGATTCGGGCATCTTTAGGTATAGGCATGAGTCAAATACACTCAATACTACACAAACATTTGGGTGTGAAAAAGCTGCGCTCTCGGTGGATCCCACACAATTTCACTGAGGCTCAAAAAACGGATCGCGTCACTTGGTGCAATGCCATGCTTATCAGATTCAACGAAGGGGCGTCAAATTTGGCGTGGGATATAGTAACAGGTGACGAAACATGGATTTATAGTTTCGATCCCAAAACAAAGCAGCAATCGAGCATATGGGTCTTTAGAGATGAGCCGAAACCAACCAAAGTGGCGAGCGTGTAAAGTGCCTCTAAGCGGATGGTTGCTTCGTTTTTTAATAAAACTGGACACGTGGCTATAATTGCTTTGGAGAATCGTTGTACCATGAATAGTGATTGGTACATGACCATTTGTTTACCGTAAGTTATTGACAAACTCCGTAAAAATAACCGTAAACGCCGTATCATCTTGCACCACGATAATGCCAGTTCTCACATGGCCAGCCAGATAAATGAATTTTTGAAAGTGAACAACGTTAACCATATGAGCCATCCCGCGTACAGTCCCGACCTGGCACCTTGTGACTTTTATTTATTTCCAAAAATTAAGAACCAGTTACACACGGTCAACGATTTTCATCACCTGAAGAAGCTGCCGAAGAGCACGAAAAATTTGTTTCAGAGATTGTCACGGAGGAGTGGCATAAATGTTTTCAAAAATGGTTCATTCGTATAAAAAAAATGCATTAACGCTAACGGAGAATATTTTGAGAAACAATAAGTTCATTTCTGACCATTTATAGCATTTCTTTTTTATTCATTCCGGAAACTTATTGTACGCCACACGTAGGAAGCCTCACACTTTATCACAAATTACAAAATTAGTTTTCGCTAATAATCTGCATTCTTATTTCATTAAACAATTTTCTAGGATAATTTACATGGAGTACATAAAATTGTACTTTTTAATGAGGGACATATGCCTCTCTCTCGTCTTGGTGTAAGGTCATGCCAGACTGCTGTAGTGTGGATAAACAAAAGATTTGATTAAATTTTTAATGAAATCTATAAATATCTACTATAATATACAAATATTCGAGAATAAATTGAAAAAGTAAGTACCTACGAAGATTGTTTAAAGAAATATTAAACATTAGGTATATTGAAAATACCATATTTACAAAGTTAAATCTTAGCTAAATTAAGAAAATGTTTAATTGGTTTATCTTACATTGTTCATTTACTGATGCTTCGTCCATCTCCCTCCAATAGACATGTGGGCGACGCCTGGACCTTCGTATAGAGGTTTAACACTGCTACGTTCACCAAACGCCTGCCGAGTGCTAAGCAAGAATTTCGTACCAATCCTATTACTCTAGTCAGCAGTACATATATACAAGACATGCCAATCTGATTTATTTTACAGTCAAGAGCACGTCAAGCTTACCACTTTGTACTTTGGACCGTTCTTGTCGTAAGCGGCATAGAGTTGAATTTCAATCTTATGTGTCAAACTTGACGTACTCTTGACCCTGTACCTATAGATATATATTTATTTAAATACAATACGTGTCTTGCTGATGAATAGCTACATAAATTATTCATAAAGCCATTTATGCAAGTATCAGGGCGTAAAAAACGCTGTTGACATGTAACAATCAAAGTTTTTCCCCGTAAATTGGTCTCTAGCCTAAAATGAGATCGCGTAGTTTCCGTTTAATTGTAATACATTTATCTAAGCTCTTCTTTCTCTATTACGTTACTGGTTCCGGTGAGGGTTCGGGGATCTTCTGGTATCCAGATCTTCGCATGTAAAGTACCACCGGATGGATGTTCTCCGCGGCGCGACCACGACAGAGAGTGAGATTGACAATTGCTCCCTGGAACAAATACACACTGTATAAACCAATATACTTACCTTGTTTATTATATTTTTGCAGGTTACCGATCTACTGTAGGGAACAGATTTAAGTCTGTTGGGTTTTTGGTGCACTATGGTGTCTCCAAAGTATCAAAAAAATCTTATGGTGGGACTTTACATCTTCGAATAGCTTTTGTGTAACGAAATGCAAGGGAAAACTAAAGAAATCAATCTGTAAAAGTAAAGACAAAACTAATTAATCGCGGTGCTTATGGTACCTACTCGTAATTCTGCTGATACGGAGTCGGGTACAGACACATCTGATAGGTACAATATAGGGCTTCATTGGGCTATAAATTCATATTTGGACTAAAGGGGCAAGATCCTGAAGAGAAATGAGAAAGTACCTTATAACTCCACCACAGTCTTACTATGGTGCGACAGAAGTATTTATTATAGAAAAATAATAATTACTCTCACCTGGTGGTTAATTTATTCAAAATTTGATGTGGAATTGATTTCATTTTCGACAAGTTTACCCACTTACTATATCATTTAGATATGTAGTGAAATCGATTTCATGTTTTATTCTATCATATACTCGTTTGTAATCAAGATTTTGGTTCACGTGTAATGAAGTTCTCCCCTGATCTTTAATTTGTATTCATAATTATGATCGTACAATCGCTTGGTACAACCCCAATTGAGTGCAAACTTAAGGTTTATTTATCCGTAATTATTTCAAAAAGGCCATAAATACATCCGTTGCCCCCTGGGGTATCTATTCGCAAAATGTGGTATAAACGCCGGGGTGTTATTTTATTCAGGGGGTGCGATTCGAGGGGAGAACGCCGACACACGTGCACTCGGTTATGACTGTTAGCCCCTTATCGATATCTACAATTGATAAAGTTGACCTGTCGTCCTCTTCATTATTAAGTACAATTATTCTTTTTTTGAATAACATTATTTAAAACCATTATAATCTTTAGCTTTACGAATGAACGTAGAAATAGTCAAAATCTTTCTTGGGCTACCCTATTTTCGTACTTAGCTGAAGTCTAAAAACAGCGATGATTACACCAGTACAATCTCTTAATTATGGTTTAAGTGTGGTTTTTATCTTGGAAAATTATATTTATCTAAATAGGGATCTCATCACTACCAGCTACAGTTGATTTTGTAACTCTTTTAAAATATATTATATTAACGCACACACTCAACATAGCCCCGCACTAGGGAAACCCTGTGTCGCCGGTGCCATGGACACACACATAGACAACCACAAATTACACCCAAACTCACGAGAGAAATAAATGTAGGTCATACAAATATTTTGCCCGGCCCGGGAATCGAACCTGGGACCTCTGCGTGGCAGTCCGGCATGGTAACCGTTCGGCCACGGAGGCAGTTAAAATCAACTTATATTAAATGACTACCTAATTTTATTCGAAAACGGGGACATTTTTATATAAATCATCTCATCTTAACCAATATACGTTTTCAATTTTTAGAGAAACTAATATAGACTAGTATTTGTATAGGAAAGTGTATTTATGGTCACAACAAGTGATAACCAGTTCCAACCAGAATATTATTTTATACCTACTACTAACAAATGCAAATATGGCATGCCACGCACAGTTAGTAGCGAGGGTTTGGACAAGAGCATTAATATTAGTTTAAAATACGTATGTCATAATCGACATATCATTACGAGTACATATTTCCTGCAATTAGTCCGCGTGTTGTCGGAACGGGACAACCACAACTTTACTATCAATAGGCAATGCTACTAAAATGAGTACAGATACCCGTGGAATAATTAAAAGTTTTATTTCAATAAATCAGTTTCAATTAAGTCGTTTGGACCCGGTAATTCTTCCCAGCATATTTGGCTAATGCCCCCAGCTCTTGTTCGATTCTAATAACTTGGTTGTATTTGCCGATGCGCTCCCCTCGAGACAGACCGCCGCACTTAAGCTGGCCTGTAGACAAACCCACTACCACATCCGCTAAAAACAAATCATCAGTATCACCGCAGCGGTCCACTACAGCTACTCCGAAACCATTCGCTCGAAGTTGTTTGAAACATTCGATCAATTCTGTTATAGTCGCAGATTGACTTAGTCGTAAGGCAGCACCATTTGCAGCTTTTTTCTCGATAGCTAAACCAATTCTTCTTATATTGGTTTGTGTTAGTTCATTGCCCAATATTTGATTAAGGGTACGGGGAGTAATTTGCGCCCACGCTGCCCAGTCGTCAAAATCGAAACAGTCTTCAACGGAGCAAACACCGAACTCTTTCATATTGTCTAGAAAAATTTCCGCCAGTTTGTCAGAAGAGACATATTCTTGTGGATTTGAATTAGGATTTTTAAAGTCTAAGTCATATGCTCCGTCTTTATAAAAATCATAAGCGGCGGCGTTAATTGCAATTTCTACTTTTCCGGTATAACCGGTCTGCTTAATAACATCGGTCAGAAACAGCAATGCGTCTCTGTGGCCCGTAAGAGGAACAGCAAAGCCACCTTGATCGTTAACGTAGGTTGCATTAACGCCAAATTTGCTTTTTATTGTTTTTTTAACGTAACTGTATATTTCGCAACCCGCGCGTACTGCTTCCGCGAAAGATGAAACACCAGTTGGCATTATATTGTACTCAGCGAAAGGCAAGCCATTGGCAGCGTGTGCTCCGCCAGTGAGGATCACAAAGTGTGGTACAGGCAATATTATAGTGGTGATATTTGCCAAATCAGATATGTGTCTGTAGAGTGGCACACCTTTCTTGGCGGCACCTGCTTTTGCTATAACCATTGAAACCGCTAAGATTGCGTTGGCACCGAGCCTAGACCTGGACTCTGTTCCATCGAGAGCTAGCAAAAATTGGTCTATTTCTTTTTGCATTGTTACTTCAAGGTTCTGTTTAATGAGCTCAGGTGCTATGATGGTGTTAATGTTTTTGACTGCCAATTTACAACCCATCCCGTTATATTCCGCAGGGATGTTGTCTCGCAACTGTGTGGCTTCGGCGATCTTCTTAGTGGCGTCGGTGGAGGGTACTCCGATGCGGAACAACCCCAACTCTGTCACCATATCCACTTCCACGGTCGGGACGCCTGTAGCATCTATTATTTGCCGAGCTACTAATATTTTTATTGGCATTTTGGACTGACCTATTCGGTAGCAATAAAATAAAATTTTAAATTTATTATTATAAAAACTATAAATAAAAGTAGGACAGGTCAAAAACACTTCTTTTTCTTCGGTATTATAGCTCTATCACAGACTATTAGATGCTAACGCATAGCTCTATCGATACAATCGATGCAATAACACTTAAATAAACAAAAATTACATGACATTTAAAGGTGACACTTGTCGTCCTGCAAAAACCAGTATTTTTTGGTAGACAAGTCTTTTTTGTACGCAATTACATGATAAAGTCTTTTTTTTCTTACATAAGACTGTGTTCTATTATGTGGTCTGTGGTGTTCTATGATTGGTTCTATGTATCAAGCATCTTCCGAACTCTTTTTCAGTTAGAGTTATGCATTGACCTACAATGGAGTTATGACTATAATCCTTAGACTAATTTTTTTTCCATCCTCTAAGCTATAATCACATTGACCTACCATATAATCAGTAAATTTTTTTCCTCCTTAAAAAAATATAATGTCCAAACACTCTACTTATATTCAAGAAAGCATCCCTTTAAAACAACAGATAATCGTGTGCCGTAGCTAGATGGGGTATAAGGTCCGTAGCGCACGCGCACGTGCGCGATAATCTCTATTGTAAATCCTGCATTAGAATACGATAAGGTGTTTTTTATTAATTGAAAAAGAGATTACGCGATGTCCACTTCAAATGAATATCAAGGTTTTTATCAGCCTGCCCTCTCTATTACATCGATAACAGTTTGATATACTTATAATATAAAAATAATTAACTTTATTGTGCTGTATCTTAAGGGTGCGTTCTCATTATGTCGTAACGAAAGATAGTCGTGCAAAGTTTAAAGTGTCGTGGCTTGTATATTTAAATGAAATTGTTTACACATAGAACAACACGATTAACTGTTGTTCACAACTTTTTTGAGGTTACGACGACCGTCTGTCGTGACAATGGGACGAGCTCAAACGACAGTCGTCTGACGATAAATAAAACGTCACGATAAAAATGTGACGACAAGTTCCTAATCGCAGCTTGAAACTATTCTTTCGTGCAAACGACAAGGCGACTGCCGTGAACTGATAAATTGTCGTCACGATCTAGTGGGAACGTCTAGACCCGACAATCGTTCAACGATAAAATAAACGTCCACGACATAATGGAAACGCGCCCTAGCGTTTATTCTGGAATATCGTTATTGTATAAACATCTTAAAGTATGAACTAACGCAAACTTGTAACATCGTACTTATAATCACAATTCCCAGTTGGTAGTACCTATAAATTAATTAATTTAATAATAATAAAATAAATATAAATTATGTGTGACCGTAGTGAAATTGCCATCAAACTTAGTTACGTATACACAAAAAAATTAAACACTTAAGTGTCATTGTAGCGAATAAAATACTCATAGGGGCGTGTGAAGTGGTGAATAGTAGCGTTCTAATATTCACCACGTGTAAGGGTGCTCTCTCTCAATTTGCTATGGCGTGATTCGCGAATTCTAACCCCTATTTACACTAGGTTCTCTTGTTCACTGAGCAAGTGCATCTGTACACTTGCGTAAACAAAACTAATTGCGTGGGTGTCGTCTTTAATACAACAGTGTTCTTTTAAAATAATGTACTTATCCAACCGGAAAACTTACATCTTTGTAAATGCATCTCGATTTTTTTAAAACTGATCTTAACATCTGGTCTCATGGTTAGTGTCCACCATTGACGAAAGAATAATATCGTGTCATACAGATATCGTTCTTTTGAAGCGTTACTTACCCATCATGTATTTATGGATGATGTTCCAGGGTTGTAGGTACCAATAATAATTTACTATTAATAACTACTAATTGTGAGATATGCCTACTGAGTAACTCAGCACAGGTATTATCCGTGTCTAAATAACTATTAATTTTGTCATAACGCAACTAAGTTCTATTTAGGTTGATTGATACGAAAATAACGTGTTACGTGTTCATCATCATTACTAATAAGTACGAACAAAAATTTTACAGTCTGGAGCAATATGGTCGCATTGATAAAATGCGATGCGTGGGATCCCATGGGATACGCATCACGCGATTGCCGTGGGAACATAACACAACGGTACCTTGACCAATCGCTTTGCACAACAATTAATGCTTCACAATAGCACTCAAAATTAATACAGATCGGTAGAAGTGAATTAATAATGGTGTCCTCTAAAGAGAGGGACAGGGTCATAGACAACTAAACATGTGTTGCGATTTCACACGTTTTCTGTTATTTTTTAACTCTCTATAACTTGCAAAATTTCTCTAAATGTTTTTCTTTGCGGTGCAAGTTAAGGCTAAAACTCTACCTTAACTTCCTCTACTAACACAAGGTTAGCGTTCTATCAATTATGCTATATCGCTGCTTTTAAGATACTGTCAAGTAAACACCTAAGTACAGCCAAGGCGGTGAAAATAATAATAAGTCTTCTGGATGAGTATTGATAATATACATAATATATATTTACTAATAATTATTATAATATTTAGTACCTAGTACAATACGATGAAGTGACGCATTTCGAAGATAAAAAAGTTCTCAGACTTTCTTAGCTAAAGAAATGACATCCAAAAACTTCACGGACAGATTGGGAGACCCAATAAGAGACCCTACCACTAGTGTCTTTCGAGCGCCAGCGTCTTGCCAACATGTTGCTGAAGCGCGAAGGTCGGTAGACGAACCGGTGTAAATGCACCATTAAATGAATTACGTAAGTAAACAGGCAACGAAAGTCTCGTATAGCCAACTGTACAGTGTTCATGTTGTCTATATAAAGAAGAAGGTGGTAAAATAAACTTAATTGCTTTGGTATTGTTTTCTGCTTTTCGTTTTTTTCTAAATGCGAAGAACGATCAAGAATATAAGTACAGTATTGGATACACATTCAACCAAATCATCAGAAATTCAGCAGGCTACCATTAATTTGCCTAGAAAAACAATAATATTTACTTTTAGCAATAACATATTAAATATTACTTTTAATATTAAGTAATATCTTTTTACATTTTCTGATAGTACATCTTCGTCTCTTTAGTCTTTGTTTCCTCACATTGTTTGAGAAAAGTACTATATAGTACGTCAAGGTGGGAAGGGAGATTGTTTGACCCGTATTAATACTACGTAATAAGTCATACTCGTCCAGAAATCCCGGCGTCTGCAGTAATATACTATACTATACTTGATCAGTGTGAATTCCAATGCCCTGTATTTTGCCCCAATAAAAACTACTCTAGATTTGAAAACATTACCACAAAATAATGTGTGAGTGAACGTAGATAGTACAATGATTATTCCGACTGATTAAATGACTAAAAATATTTAAATAAATAAAATAATATATAAATAATTTTCTAAATGTAAATTATATAGAGATCCCGACTACACACGATTAATGATTTACGACTCCCGAGAACATAAGGTGCCAGTGTTTTGTCCTATAAGCCGTTTAGGTCGTGATTAGTTTTTAATTCCTGGGGTTAAAACTTCGATTGAAAGTAGTCTTCAGTTTTAGTCTTGTCGACTTAAGACTTAAGGGTTACAAGACTAGTCTAGTCGTGAGTTGAAAATTAATCGAGTGCACCCACAATTGGGTTCACCGTAATCTGGTATAAAGCAATTTTAACAATTTTCTTCATTGCGCTTGGTGATGTCAGTGCACTCAGCTATTTATACTGTCACTTTTCAAAACTGTTTAATTTGTACGATTATATAGGTAAGGTACAAATTGTCTTTGTACGCTAGTACAGACATATCGTTGGTTGTTGTTGACACATTTTTCAATGTGGTTTACTATTCTTAATTGATTTACAAAATGAGTGTAGGTACATAAATTTGAGTTACAAATGTGCGACGCGCGATATCGATCTTTACAAGGTGCACAAATAAATTGACGAGCAGGGGTCGCTCCCTGACACCGTTCGACCCGGCCTACAACATCGCATGCTTCATTGCATGTGTTTTTATCATATATTTTTCAGATATGTTGCATGCATACCTACATCCGTATGTACGCACTACAATTAGATGCCAAGCTAGATAGAGATCATATATTAGTCTCTACATCTATGTAAGTATCTATGTAAGCATCTATGTAAGTTTTCGCTAACGGCAGCTGACTATACCAGGAATTGTATAAAATTATATTGAAATTATGTTTGTATTATCTATTGCATTAATATAAGATGTTATTTATAAAAATATATATATAAACTTATTATTATTATTATTATTATTATTATCATCGTATTTATTTTAAACTCTCGCCTCTCCCAAGGCCTAAAAGATTAATTAATTAATTAATTAATTAATTAATTAGATTAATTTTTTTAATATTATTATTATTATTATAGATGTTTTTTCCTCTCAGCCTGTTGACTGGTTTTAACAGCATCTACGGACCGAAATCAAGTAAATGCTGTAGGGCTTGTATTATTATTATTATTATTATTATTATTATTATTATTATTATTATTATTATTATTATTATTATTATTATTATTATTATTATTATTATTATTATTATTATTATTATTATTATTATTTGCGTGTCAGTATCAGTGAGAAATTGGTGGAACCTAAGGGTGGAACCTATATATAATAATATAATTATATTATAACGTCATTGTGACAGTATCGCACCTTATTATGTTTCTACTGATACAGTCCGAGTATGACATGTCGGACTATTAAAGCACAGGATATCCCTAAGTTATGTATCTCTGTAGCCTAACAGACTGTAAATTAAGCTGTATATGAACCTATTTTAAGATCAAAGACATTGTGTCATTGTAAATTAATAGGTATTATTAAGTAGCTGCTACTACTATATAAATTACGAATATAGTTGTTTTTAATACAGTTGCTCAAAACGTGGTATTTTTCGCACTACAAATCGTGCGGAAAGTTGGATTTCTCGCACTAGTGCTTTGTACTTTTCCAGTTTTTTTTAAATTTACTGTTGTTTTAAGTCTTAAACATAGAACTAAAGAGATTGTATATTTATTTCATATTTATGTGCTTTGTGACGTAAGTCATTCGTCATTAAAACTTATATTTATTTACAAATACTATATAATGAACGTATCGAGTGGAGGTCTCTGCCTACCCCTGAATGGGTGACAGGCGAGATTTTTATGTATATATTTGTTTTATGTATTACAGATAAATTGTGTCTCACTACCATGCACGGGTTCCTAAAGAAGTTTAAACAAAAGTACCAGGACTTCATAATAAGAAAAGTGGTGTGGAAAATAAAAAGAGAAAAGACAAGTGAAAATGATAAACCCGCACATATATCAAACGACGTTTTTTAGTACATTTGCGAAAAAACTACATTGAAAGTAAAATAAGACAGTATTTAAAAAAAAAATTATTTCCTTGTCTGATAAAAATTCAGAGTACAAATTGCCAAAACAGTTGCCTGTTGCCAGTATTCAGTCACATTAAAATCACTATTTTAGTGGCGCGGCGCGCAGCGGTCTCGCGTAATACTCACTTCCGGTCATTGTTAATACTCAATCAGCCATCTTTATGGAAAATATTTTGGTATTTATAAATGTAACCCGTGGTTTTATGAAACACCTATGCAATATAAGCAAATAAGATGTTTGTAAGTAAATATAAGTTTTAATAACGAATGACTTGCGTCACAAAGCCTTAGACTTTGCATCCTCTAATCACAAAGCACGTAAATATTAAATAAATATACAACCTCTTTAGTTCTATGTTTTTATTTTTTTCCATCCTCTAAGGTTTGAAGACTTGAAACAACAGTAAATTAAAAAAAAAATGAAAAAATTAAAACCACTAGTGCGAAAAATCCAACTGTCGGCACGATTTGTAGTACGAAAAATACCACGTTTCGAGCAACTGTACTATAAAATTATATTTCCATCCGGAAGTCTTCATATTACCGCCAGCGAGAATAATATACCTACATTCTTTTCAGCACTTTGCCTGCTGTTGTTATGATCATCATTGTGCATATGCTTGATCCATTATATAGGACACACGTAAAAAAAATGCACTTACCCCTGATTATGACTTTCCTCTGCTCGTCTTTATTTTGTATGTTGGTGACACCGGTGAGCATTGTCTCTGAAGAGTTGCGATCAGCTCGAACCTAACAAACAATATTCAAAGTTAAAACATTTAGCCATAACCACAGCAGTCTAAAATTACCAATGCAGTTCTCATATGACTTTTCAAAAAAGCGTTATGACCCAGGTTTAGTCTGAGAGTTGCTGATCGCAGATTTGCTCTCTTATAATACAACAATAGGAATAGTTGTGCCGTCTCTTTGATCACCTTAGTCGTGTTTATGAAAAACTAGGGATGCTGACCTGTTGCTCTTGGGTTCGAAATGTTTATATGTATATCTGTCTAAAAATCAATAAAAACTAAACATAATAATTATGTTCTTTACGTGTGTGTGTGGATTGAGTGAGCACCCTCTGTAAAATGTTTAAAATGTGTTTGTTAGTCATTTAGTAAAAGTTCTAAAACAATTGTAGAAACCAATCTTTATATTTGTGAAAAGACAAAGCAAAAATAACTTAATGTGTGCCCACTCAGTTCTCACAGAGGGCCAGTCAGATCTACAATAGTATTAAGGTTACATATAACATTATTGTACTAGTTTTTAGTAAAAGTTTAGTTAAACTATTGTTTTTAATTACAGATCGATTAGAGCCTTTTTCAGTATTTTACAAATACTTTCTTATACTCACTCAATCCGCACGTTTATAAAAGGAACGATTTCTTAAGAACCAAATAAGTGAATAAAATTTCGTTTGTCTAGATTTAGTAAAAGTTACATATGAATTTGTAAAATATAAAACAAGCCACTAAAGTAAAACGTTTTTGAATAATAATTATTTTTAAGTGCTCACTCAATCCTCCAATTTCTGAAAAGTAACAAATGTCAATTATCTTTAGATTTGTAAGTATTACAGAGATTATAGTTGGTAAAGTTTTAGTAGTAATTTGCTACTAAATATCTGCCGTTTCAGATTTCGTTTTGATTATTTAATTAGAAAGATATTCGTTTTTTATTATTTGCATGAAATTTTACTAAGTCTAGTCATAAACGAAATTTAATTCACTTATTTGGTTCCAACGAAATCGTTCCTTTTAAAAACGTGCGGTCAATCCGCATAAGATGACGTGATAAGATGTGAGCATAAGAATTATTTGTAAAAAATTGAAAAAGGCTCTAATCGATCTGTAATTAAAAACGATAGTTTAATCAAACTTTTACTAAAAACTAGTACGATAATATTATATGTAAACTTAATACTATTGTAGATCTGACTGGCCCTCTGTGAGAACTGAGTGAGCACACATTAAGTTATTTTTCTCTTATTTTATCTTTTTACAAGTAGAAAGATTGGTTTCTATAATTGTTTTAGAACTTTTACTGAGTGACTAACACATTTTACAGAGGGTGATCACTCAATCACTCACACACACGTGTGTTTTTTTGCGAAAATTAAGAAGGTTCAGGCAGTATTTGCAAGAGCTGACGAAGAAAAAACAAATGCTGGAATGAAGAAGGCAATCCACTTACGAGTTCTCCAAGGAAGCTTATGTAGCCGATGGCCAGCTTTAGTGTATCCACCTTAGATAGTCGCTTCTCATACGGAAGGGTAGGTATGTGTGCACGCAACCCTTCGAACGCGTCATTGATGGATTGCATGCGTCTGCGCTCGCGCAAGTTCGCCGCTTGACGCTGCTGCATTTGCTGTTGAGGGCAGCGTGACCGCCGTCTATGCAATCGCCGGCATTCCGATCTGCATAAGCCAAGATAAAGTTGTAATCATCATCAATATCATATCAGCCGGATGACGTCCACTGCTAAACATAGGCCTACCCCAAAGATTGCCAGACTGGGCGGTTGGACGCGATGTGCATCCATCGGTTACCCGCCGCCCTTACCAGGCCGTCCGTCCATATAGTAGGGGGCCGTCCCACTGAACGCCTTTCGGTTCGTAGTCTCCATTCGAGAACCTCTCTGCCCCAACGGCCGTCAGTTCTACGACCTGTGTGTTCTGCCCACTGCACTTTAACTTGCTAATCTTCTAAGCTATGTCGTGGACTTTCATTCTTCTACGGATCTCCTCATTTCTGATTCGATCACGTTGAGAAATGCCGAGCATTGTTCGCTCCTTAGCTCATTGAGTGATTTTGACCTTTCTTATGAGATCCATAGTAAGTAAGTATCCACGTCTCAGGTCGTCGCTAGCAACACGCAATTCTCGAAGACTTTAGTCTTCAAGGACTGCGGTATTGCGGACGAGAAGACGTCCCGTAGCTTCCCGAAAGCTTCCCAACCGAGTCGGATTCGACGATTAACCTCTTTCTGGAAGTTGGCTCTGCATATTTGGACTGTTTGTCCGAGGAAGACATACTCGTCAACAACTTCGAGATTAGAGGTTCCCACTATAACAGTGGTGGGTACAACATGGACATTCGACATAAGTTTCATTTTGTTCGTAATTCCCTGTTCACCCAGTGCCTTGTTGTTTTTTAGCAGTTTCGTAGCATCCTAATCTCGTGTCCAGATATCCTCTGTATAGTGTCGAATGAGCTTGGCCCTAGGATCTTTTGAATCGGCAACAGGCTAAGTAATCGTGGCATATAGTTGACTATAGAACCTCTCGATCTTTCCCAGTACCTGTGCATTCGTATTAAAAGTTATAAAGGCCTCTAGGAAATATAGCAAAAAAGACTCAAATTTTTCAGCAAATTATTGTGTCTAGTCAAAAAATTCTTAGAACTATTTCTTTGAGATCAGTGTTATTTTAGGAGACACTTAGTTAGGAAGGAACATGTAATGTAAGAACCCGTTTTTAGTTATTATAAATTATTATTTTATCTTAACCTACCTATCTACCTATCTGAATGTTATACACATCAAATAAAGTAAAGCGCTAAGGAAAAGCTTTTCCTTGTTTTGAAACCTCTTAGAGTTTTTGAGATATCGGCTGGCTATACTCTGTCTTTCTCCAGTAAATCCTTGACCTGGCTATTTTGCTATTCCTACTAATGAGAGATTGTAATGTGAAAATGTTATTTATTCCAATCCTTGGTAAACAACGTTCTTATATAAAAGTCACTAAATATAGCTGTCTGCACGTAGGTACCTTACTTCCTTACTTACTTACTACTTACGTTACTTCAATGATATTAAAAATAACAAGGATACCGAAAATTTATTGTACTCATTTGTTTTATATGCTAGTAATGCTAGTTACCTACATAATTATGCGCAAAGATCAAAATAGTTTGGGGTTGTTGTGTTTACCTACTTTTTTTCATTGAAATCAGATATTATAGAAGTATGTACAATGATGTATGTACGTACCTCTGGATACGATGGGCTATCACAGGCTATCAATTATTTCAGGAGCTACGGTATCAGTAAAATGGTTAGTACATAAGTAACTAAAATAATTTTCGCTAAGCAAACGCAAAAAGCGGCGGTTACTAACACAGAAAACGCAAGGGTATTTAGTACAAGTAGAAACAATTTTTTTGAAAGAACTATTACAATAATTCTTTAAATTTGTTAAGTACGTACACATACATACCTTTTTCTGGGAGTTGAAAGATTTTCTTGATCACTTGCGTAAAGACTGCCGTCTGATATCGAAGAATCATCATAGAGGAACATATCCGAACCGTTGCCTGAGCTAGGAGACCCTCCGAGATTCAGGGGCACTCCCGCGCTGTCCAGGAGTGGACACCGATGGCCATTCGTCCCGTCCATATTGAACATTGTCCCAATTTTTTTTACGTGCACTAATTTTACATTGCTAACATCATACCATATTTAATACAATTTATTGCACATTTTCTAAAAACAAAACCAGAGTACCGTTAGCCGTGACGTTGTATGCTATATTGAGGGACAAAGAGGACTGATAGTGGTAATTGTGAGGGAGGGCGTCCCCTCCTGTCTAATGTTTCCCCGCCTACTCGCTGACACTGCCCACTAAAACGAGAGCTCAGAGCTTTCGTTTCAGTTTTGGGGTGTTTTTGCAGAAGAATATAATGCTTCGCAGAATTTTGTACGTGCTACAAATTACTTACCCGAAAAAGAGGCTAAATTTGACTAAATGTACTTAATTAAATTTCGCTAAGTATTAAGTAGGTACTTATTGACCGTTACAACAAGGAAAAATGACAATTTCATAGATTTTAGTTTACTGGAGATTGATAGTGTGGTCTTTGTACAGTCAACACTTAACCGCCCTTATAAGGCATCTACGGCATTTGGTATATGGATTAGACCTTTAGTACTGTGAGTATCATACATTTTCAGAAAAATTTCTTCATGGATAATTAAATCAAATCAATTCAATATATTAAATAAATGGGTGAATATCAACAAATGCATTTTATTGTAGATTTTGGTGGCGCAATTTTTTTTTTCCTGTATCCGAGACTTGTTTGCAATAAAATGAAACATTTCATTAATATATACGTGACCGGGACATAACCATTTCCATTCATTTCAGAGATATAAGCAATTAAACATTTTTCTCGCACCAATACTTACAAACGCCACCAAAACGCTTATCGGTTGCACCAGAATTTAATATTGCCACTAAAGTTGGAATATATATAAAAACAAAGACAATTAAGTAAATTTAATTGTTTCTTTAAATTTACTTGTGATAAAAATTTGTTTGCCCCTTTTAAATGACACATAGTTGGAATTTTCTTCTGCTTTTTCTTTTTAATATCATGTGACGGGACAAACGAGTCATACGCCTGATGGTAAACTACACCCCTGTCCATAACAGTGGCAGTGCCACTCAGAGCTTTAAATAAGCAAAGATCTGAGGAGCACTGCCACTGCGCCCGTCACCCTTAGACGTAAGTTGGCACGTCTCATGCGCCTGTAACTTCACCAGCACCCTTACCCTTCCAAACCTAACTATGCTAACATTACTGCTTGGCGGCAGAAATAGGTAAGGTGGCAGTACTTTCCTGGATTTTAGGGAATGAGTTCATTGTTGCTTTAATTGGCAGTTGAAGAACTATGATACACGCCATCTCTACGAATATTTCCTAAAGATAAGTTGTAGAAACCCAAATGTTTACCATGAGGACATACGGTAGGTTTGTCCGGACATTGAGGCTTGATAAGGCATCATCATCATTGACAGCTTTATTTCACCCACTGCTAGGTATAGGCCTCCCGAAGTTTGTGCCATCCATCACGGTCCCGTGCTGTCTTCGACCCACCGTGCAACAGGGCGCCAGACGCATCTTTTGCCCATCCTCGGCCACCAATCAGTCGATGTTTTGCTTCACTTGTCATCACCTTGCCGAGCTAGGCGTCCCGCCCATCCTAATTTGAGTTCCATGATCCGAGTTCCAGCATCCTGGACTTTCATCCATCGTCGGATCTTAACGTTCGGAACTCGGTCTACAAGGCTGATGCCGAGCACAGCGCGCTCCATAGCCCTCTGTGCAACTCTCAATCTGTATACAGTCTCCTGCGTGAGCGTCCACGTCTCGTCACCATATGTCATGGTGGGCAGAACACATTGATTAAACAAGCACGTCTTCAGACACTGTGGAACCTTACCTGATTTAAGGATGTCACCTAACTTGCTAAACGCAGCCCATCCCAGCTGGATTATTTTTGAGATCTTTTTAGGCTGATGCTCTTTGCCAAAGGACAGAACATGTCCGAGACAGACGTACTAATCGACTCTCTCCAGCCTCTCATTTCCCAACGTGACAGTAGTATTTGACGGGCTAGAGAGATTCGCCATAATCTTCGTCTTGGACATATTCATCCTTAGACCAACTCTCAAAGAAGCATCATGTTGTTCCAGCATCCTTTGGAGATCGTCGAAACTTGCAAATAGCACGAGATCGTCCGCGAATCTTAGGTGAGATAAATGGTGTTACACCACTGATGTTAATGCCGCGGTTATCCCATTTAAGGGTTTTTACGACATCCTCAAGTCCTCGCCGGATTGGAACGGGATTGGTTAAATCGTGAACTCGTACCTGCAGAGTGACTGAACGGTAGAGCTCCCGGGGCACACCCACGTAGCGGGATTCGATGTGGCAGCGATGAAGAGCGTGGAACACGGCCCAATGTTTGATACGGTCAAAGGCCTTCTCATAATCGACGAAGGCCATGACAAAATTCGAGACATTTCCCCATCAGCTGATTAACCGTGTGGATATGGTCGATGGTTGAGAAGCCGCTCCGAAAGCCAGCCTGCTCATTAGGCTGCGCTTCGTCAAGTTCACTGGTAAGCCAGATGGTCAAAATCTTTGTAAAAAGTTTATAAATCTGAGAGAGCAAGCTAATCGGCCGATAATTGCTAAGTTTTGCAATGTTGCCTTTTTTGTGGATGACGGGGACGATGGCATTCTTCCATTGCTCTGGTGTTCGAGTTTCACAAGCATTTTTACCACAGGATTTCCTCCTGCTTTGAGTAGTTGGACTGAAACACCATCATTTCATCATCATCAGATGATGGTGTTGATAAGGCACTGAGTACTAATTTAGAGTTATTACTTTTTCTTCAAATAATCTAAAGAAAATTCATGTTAATTCATGAAAAGGTTTCATATACTAAAGAATGGACCAGTCTTTTTGAACAATTTCGTAATGTACACGTTTAATTTGAATATTATTACCGGTAGCTTTTAACGCCAGATGATCGAATCAATGTCAGTAATGTCATTCCCAAACAACACTGATTGATCTGTAGTTGTCTTTAAAAATCCTCCAACTCCACCTGGGGCACCCGCGATTATTGCGTGTGTGGCCATGGCTAGGGTGCCCAGGAGTTGGAGGATTATTAAATAGAACTGCAGAGCTTAGTGTCATTTGGGAAGAACATTACTGATATTGATTCGTTTCTGGCATTGATACCTGACATTGATAATATTAAAATTAAACCTATAGAAAATTACGAAATTGTAGAAAAAGACTGGCCTTTTCCTGGTAACATGAATTTTCTTCAAGTTGTAAATAAATTTTATTGAATGTCAAGATGTTTCACCACTATGATATTCAATTAAGTACTTTTTGTGAAATTACTCCACTAGTTAGTTATAATTGTACCAAGTGTTATTTCTTCAGGTTATTTGGAAAAAAGTAACAACTCTAAATTAGCATTCTGTGCCTTATTTTGCATCAAGACTCAATGTCTCGATAAACTCACCGCATGTCCTCATGGTAAACACTTGAGTTTCTACAATTTATCTTCAGAAAACATATCTAGAGATAGCGGAGTGTATCGTAGTTATTCAACTGCCAATGAAAACAACAATGAACTAAATTTTCGTGTATGACGTTCTCAATAAAATCATTTAATCAATGGTATCACCGTTAATTTAAGTAAAATACAAATTTAAAAGATCGCTAAGGTACAAATAGATAAAAAAGCACTTAAGTAATTTTTGGTTATCTGAAAAATTATGAATAACTCTATCTTTCTTAAGTTTATTGGGACAAATAAACCACAATACTTTAAAACAATTTTCGAAAGTGAACGTTATATTCAAAAATATCATAACAATTTAAAATTTGGTGGCGTTTTTAAGTTAAGGTGGTAACACAAACGCCACCAAAACCACCAAATTTGAGCCACGTAAGATGAAATCTCAAAAAATAAATTACGGGAAAAAAGTAAAAGCTTAAAAATAAAAAAAAACCGAGACGAATAAATTGTGATAAAATAATGACAAAATTAGTCTCTTAATTTGGTTTCAGAATACGACCTTAGGATAGAACAAAAATTGAGCCCAAATGGAGCCAGGAAAGCTGAATATTTTTTATCCCACGTGCCACCAAAGGGCATATAATTACTTTTTTCGCGGGAAATGGAACACAGTGCCCATGTTTTTGGCTGCCAGGTCCTAATACATAACTGAGGCTTGCGCGGGGCAAGAACGTAATGGTTTTTAGTTAAACTACTTACTAGTTGCAACCAGTTGTATATTTGCCACCAAAACTACAATTTTCGCGTGGACAAAGTTTGATCAAGTACCCAGTCTCCGACATACTGGTAATTGCAATACTTTCAATGATTTTAGTTAGTGCTTCTAATAGAGAATAACATACATGGAATTGTTTCTCTTAAAAGCGTACACATTTTACCAGAACGACTATTTTATACAATGAAACAGAAAGTGGACACACCAGCAAAATTGAAAATCGGGACATTAATATTTTTTATTAATTATTATTGTACAATGAATTTTCTGAAATCTTGCCCTAAACTCATTTTACGTTTAATTAACCAATAAAAAATAAATAATTAATATTTTTTCATTTTACACCTGGTTTCTCAGCCTGGACTGAGATATTCACCCAAATGATGAAGGTTCCTCGGTACTTTTACATCTTTATAACTTTGGATAGTTATTATTTATATTAAAAAATAAGCATGTAACTGGATGATATTCACGTAGATACTTAAGTAAGTTTTGTTTGGGAAAATTGTATAATTACAATTATAACAGGTTAAGCTCTTACTTTTGTAAACTGCAAAATTTTTCACTTTTTTACGTTATTTTGTAAACTGCAATTTTTAAAAATTCTGATATCTTCAACACGTTCCACTGGTGCAGGACAAACGTATTACAAATTTCAGTTGATTGAATTTTACATTACATACCTACCTGCAATAGAAGAATAGGTATCTTGAGAACCTCTTTTTAACCGACTTCAAAAATAGGAGGAGGTTCTCAATTCGACGGTATTTTTTTTGTATGTATGTTACGCGATAACTCCGGTATTTGTGAACCGATTTTCATGATTCTTTTTTGTTGGAAAGAGGGTCCTTAGTGGTCCCATTTAATTTTGAATAAAATCATCCACCTCTAAGGGTGGCTGTTCACGTATGAAGATTCATTTTTATAAATAGCGCCTAAATTTTATTATAATAATTTTGCTATTCTCCAATTCAAAGCGTTTTTCGCTCTCAATATAGTTTCAGTAGTGAGAACCAATTTTTATTATCTTCTGTGTCAAGTCCCGCATAGTGGCGAACTAGGGGATGAATCCGGGTTTGCGCACTTTCCGGTAACTGATTTCAATAAAGCTTGGTAATTATATGTAATTTCACGAACCTTTGAAGTCGGTTTTTTTAGTACTCTGTACTGAGATTATTGTAAGTTACATAACAAAGACGTCATTGATATCAATGTGTTGATTACCCATTGACTGCGCGAGCTACATCAGCACTGTTTAGTGTTGTAGCCCATCTTTAAAAACTTTTATGAAAAATTTAAATGGAAATATTAATTTATTAATAAAATTTTCTATGTTTACACCTGTTCAAGAAAAGCAAGTAGGTACTGCGTATTTTTCATATACTTAATTTTGTCAGACTGAGCTAGTTCATGGTCTCGTTATTTTATTGTAAAATTCAAAGCAAAATGTTCAATTTATGTAATGAATATAATGTAACGTGATAGCAAGTATTTGGTTGCATAATGCACAATATAAGTAGTACTTTCGTTTCCAGGTCCCCGTCGTATAGTACTGTGACGATCCGACCTCTTTCATCGTCATCCCATTTTTTTGTCTCTCTTGTCTCTGGTTCCTGGCCACGTACTTTGAAATTTTGAATCGTTCTATAATTCCTTTTCTTCTTCGTCACTCTTACTTTTCTTCTTTCCGTCCACCCATGTTATGAAGAGGGGACATGAGTACCTACTTTCAAAATCCTACTGGACCCACTACGTGGAGCCAAGAGTGGAACCAACAGTCCGAAAGGGATTTATTCGAGTTTATAGAAGTGACGATTATACTATCTCCTTCAATTTTCTCCAGTCATCGGCTCACTGCTGCAATTAAAGATTACCATAAAAGGCTCACTTTAGGGCAAAGTTGGTTATGGTGCAGTCATATTCTATATTTGAATTATATTGCATGTTTCCGCGCCTAAGCTGCGACTAAAATTTTGTAGATATTTTGTAGTTGGCGGATTTAGCAATACAGACGTTTTTGTTTACGGAACTATTTAACGAGGAAAAGTCGTTACTTTTGTTATTTATTTTTCAAAGTAAACGAACCTGAAAATTTGAATCTAAAATATATGTATGATATTGATTATTTTTTCCATCGTCTAAGGTTATTGAACTCAATGGTGACGAGTGTGTGTGTGTGTATGTGTGTGTGTGTGTGTGTGTGTGTGTGTGCGTGCGTGCGTGCGTGTGTGTGCGTGCGTGTGTGTGTGTGCGTGCGTGCGTTCGTGCGGGCTTTGCGTGCGTGCGTGCGTGTTTGCGTGCGTTCGTGCGTGCGTGCGTGCGTGCGTGCGTGCGTGCGTGCGTGCGTGCGTGCGCGCGTGCGCGGGCGCGTGCGTGTGTGTGTGTCGACATTGAAAACATAAACATGTTATTGTCTTTGTTTAACTCTTGCGTGCCATCTTAAGCCAAAAGAGATAGCATTACATTGATCTGTGTCAAACACGGGAATCGAAAATACGCAACGTCATCTTAAATGCCAACCGTGTCCATTTCGCAGTACATGATACGGTTGTTAAAAGGAAGTACATCAAATGTCAAAACAAATGTTTTTCCAAGTGTTTTAAAGAATTATTCGCATGTATTGTAATAAAATGGATAAAAATATTGACAGTGAGAACAATAGAGTATTAATAAAAATTCGTCGCTGCAACATTACGGGATGTGGCATTTGAAAAAACGAAGATCGACCGAATGTAACATTGTACAGGCACGTGTTATTTTTCTGTATATAAATCACACAAAAGCTCAAATATTTCATGTAATTAGACATATTTAAGAAGTTTATTCATAAATCTTGCCAAATTTTGCTTTGGTTTCGTCAGATAGATAGATAAATAAACACTTTATTGCTCACACACAAGAACAAGAATAGTACATAAACAACTTAAAACTAATGTGGGCAAAGGCTTCAGATTGCCTGTTTGTTTGTATATTTTGATAATTGTTGTTAACGATTTTTTTGACATAGTGTTGTTCTTGGAAGCGTACATATTATCGATATTCTGTTATTAAAATAATTTACTACGAGGTTTTTATTATTTTATTATTATTATTATTTTTACTATTTCAAGTTTATCTACAAATCCAAAAGAAAAAAGAATGGTTGGAAATCATGCCGCCGTATAATAGTGCCGAATATAAACATTGAATCAAAGACCATCTTCATTTATATATTCTTTTATTTTTTTCCCATCCTCTAAGATCGTCAGTCATCTTTTCGCGGATAGAACATAAATCGCGGCACTCAAAGGCACAAGCTGACACTCAAAAGGACTCAAAGGCCTTGCTAACTCTCACATCTCTGGTGAAATCGCAGCCTAATCGAATCTTTTCAGGCGAATGCTCGCAGGTGAAGGAGGTAGTTTGTAATGTAATGCTCAAAAACGAATGTTCATTCACAACCGAATGCTCGCCGGTGAGGGAGCGCCCTTACATAAAACAATGACAAAATAAGAAGTGGACGTCCCAAGAAGTACTTAAAAGAAGACTTGGCTTAGGCCTAAAATAGAAAAGAAATTAGAAATGGAAATTAAAAATTTGAAATAAGTAATGGAAAAAAGACTGGGCTGTATGGTCCATAGATCTTTGCCTTTCCGCAAGGAAAACGAAAAAAAAAACAGAAGTGACAAGTGATAGGTGACAAAATGTTAAAAAGATACAGTACGAACAGATAGGAAACAGGCCCTATAACGGAACGTTCGTATAGGTAGTTCCGTGCCCCGTGACGGCACGCTGGTGGCGCTAGTGTACCGAATAGTGATGCGCCTCAAACCTTTATGGATCGCTTTTTATTAGTGATGTCCTGTATCGCACAATTATTAAACAAAAGGTCGCTCGGCGGATTAGAGCACATAAGTCAAAAACCAACATCATTCGTTTATACATAGTAATACATCTACGGATTAAACACAAAGTCTAATTAATTTTTACTTTAATTTGCAACTTAAATTCCAGTGGCGTCTTTTTCAGATTTATCATTCTCTTCGCATCTTCCAACATTAGAAACAACAAGAAAATATATAATTATATATTAAAAGATTTGTAATGAAGTAAACATTACGATCAGTTTTTTTTTAAGTTATCAAACTCATAGTAGTAATTATAAAAATCGTTTATGCAAAATTCGATACACCAACAAAATTATTACACATATAATGCGGAAAAGTACATAGATAAAGTGTCACTAAATCCTTGAAAACACCAAGAAATCACATTATCATGTCACATTGTCGTGTTAAACCATCGAGCATGTTAAACTAAGTAACATCACTTTTATTTTTGTTAGTCGATATGATGAATATTGTGTGTGTGGTCTGTGTTCTGTGGTCCTTTATCTTTTCCAGGTCACCAACTCTCCATTTATCTGCAGTGGTACAGCATAAGTATGATCTCCCACTGTTCGAACAGCTAAAATGTAAGAAAAATAGCTTATAAGTAATATAACAAATGTATAAGTATCTGTAGCACCAAACCATTGAATACTTACAGACAGTTGGTTTTCGACATGACAAGTGGGTTTTCGACATGCTATTTCCACTTCTGAGGATAATGTAGGCCATGAGAAAGGCACTCTGTTATCATCTTTGATAAATTTATCCTCAAAGTGAAGTTTGTAAACCTGAAATTTAATAAATATTGTGGATATAGTGCTTACATTTCAAATTATAAATATTGAATGCCTTTTAAAACCATTTAACATTTCAAGTATATGTATATATATCTCTCATGTTTTTTTTAGAATCACCGAGAATATTAGGAATCTTGAAATAGGGACAGTTGTTTGAAACTCTATTAATAGGTAATGATACAAATACTTGTCTTAAAGTATGTTGAAGGCTAAGTTACGTTGTTTGGTTCCCCTAAAACATTCATTCTCTACCATTTTGAGTGTGCTACGATTATCATTAAAAATCGTTATAGGTTCTGGTGGTGACGGGCTGCTGTACTTGAGTTCGAATAAAAACATTTTTTTTAAATTTTGCCTTTTTTGGAGAACTTCAAAGACCATAGTATTCAGCTTCAGTGCTAACAACAAGCCACATCGTTGTTGTTTGTGACTGTACCAATTTACAATGCAAAAGCCGAACCTACTCAGAAACCCTGAATATGATTTTCGATCAGTCTAATCCCCAGCCCAATCTGCGCCAAATAACATTTCAACTTTACTACTACCTCTACTAAAATTGAGTCCGTAGCTAGTTGGAACTAAGCAACGTATATATAATATTTTTTTGGTGTTAATTTGAACTAAATATGAAGAAATCATCATGATAAAATGCTATGGTGGCCTTGTCTTTGTAATAGATACATTTTGCAGTCTTTAATTGAGCATAGCCATTGGTAATTAAAACTTTATGCACTTTTCATTACGATCTCATTACTTTTCATTCCAGTTTCTACTAGCTTGTTTAAATCCGTATGGATTTAAACTCTTCTTGAGTAGACAAACTTTACCCCTCAGTCTCAAATTCAGTAGGTTGCTCCATGCAAATGCAATCATTACGATCTCCATTGAGGAATGCTGTTTTAATGCATTCGTTGATTATAATAATCTTTGAGAATGCAGGTAATCGTTCAGCCACCGAGGTCGCTTTTGCTGTGCACAAATTAGAAAAATATTTGCTGTGTAAAATAACTCACATAGGCATGCCTATGAATGCGGTTCCGATGCGTAAATAACGATGTTAATCTTGAGCTGTGAGACCTTAGGAGGTCTATCCAAACTCGTTCCAGATCTACGCTGCGAGGTTACCGGCACAAGTTTGCTGTCTCCGATGTGGATGAACAGTCGTCGACAAGGCACCTGTGAACACGAGACATATCTCTGAAAACACAAAAAGAAACAAAACAAACAAAGTACAAACGAATAAGTTGAAATTGCAGAAGTCCTACGCCAACAAACTGGTCGCTGATTGTTTCTGCAACAAATAATAAAAGTTTTATTAGAAATAGTCAGTAAATCCTTCCCTCGCAAAGCGAAAAGAATTCTAGAAAAGGAAATAAACGGTCTAATTTTTTTTATGTCGAATCGGACAATCATCCTTTCTACATCGTGATTATGGTCTCAAAATTAGATTTTTTTTAAATGTAGAATGTATTAAAGTTTTAACTACTAAAAAAACTTATAACAGTAAAAACACGTAAATTTATTATGCATTTTAAATAATTTACATAATGTCATTCCAAGAGTTGCCGATTCTTTATTAAATTGTTAGACATATTTAATTTTTAATCTGTGTTTTTTTTTTGTCAAACGTCATGGGCTTCGTGATGACCAATTAAATAAGACCTCCATACTCAGTAGGTAAGTTTGATATTTAGGTTCTGAATAAAATGGATGATGAGGATGATCTTCTATGGTCGGCTTAAATACTAGAGTGTTTCCGAAGCGTGATGATAAATATCGGTGAACCAAAACGAACGTAAATGTGCCGAAGAATTTCTTAAACTTGCTTTATGCATGGGATTAACATAATTCTGGTTTATTGCTAATTGTACAAAATTGGGTAGTTAAAACCTGTGTCATGTTTATAGTAGGACTTACTGGAGGTCTAGCCACCGGGAAGAGCACAGTTCTATCTATATTTCGCGAAAATGGTGTAGCTGTAATTGATGCTGATGAAGTGGCCAGGAAAGGTAGATATTTTTATGACCATTTATTCCTTTATCGACTATCTGCTGAAGTTATCTTGAGCCTTAACATTATCTACTTATTCTCGTAATGAAACTCAGTGACATGCAGTAAAAACATTAGTTTGTAGATCAAAGTTCGTGGTTTGTCATTTTCATAGCTTCGTACAAATATTTTCAACTTCCTGCTAATTGTTAACGCACATTAGACATTAAGTATAACATTCTCCATAGCTTTTCCAAAATCATTGCCTTAAGAATAAGAATTCCTTTTTTTATTAAGGGCATGTCTACGCATCTGTCGCATTACTTATTTTAACATACTTAAATGAAACTGTACTAATCTCAAATTAAAAACATAATTCAAGTGTACTGGGACACTTCTTATAACTTTTGTGTGTTCTGTACCTTTTGCTAGTATTTAGTACACAATTTACAGAACATGTATATACCTTTATTTAAATCAGAGATGAGTGTAAGAAGAATTTTAAGAGTAACACTTTTTGTGGATCGTGACATTGGTAAATAAAATATATTTGTTTCACAAGTATCCAGAAACTGTATAACAGAAATTCACTGTATGAGTAATTTTATTTCTTTATGAGTACAGAGAACAACAGTACTTATTAATAGGAATTGAAATATTTTTCTTTATTCAGTTTTAGAACCGGGCACACAAGCATGGAAAGAGTTGAAAGAATATTTTGGTGATGTAGTTCTTCATGATGATGGCAAAGTGAATAGAGTGACTCTTGGAGAGATAGTCTTTGACAGTATAGAGAAGCGGCGTAAACTGAATGCCATCACCCACCCTAGAATACAAAGTGCAATGATGAAAATGGCTATCTCTTATTTCTTTTCTGGTCACCGATATATTGTTATGGAAGTACCATTGCTCTTTGAAACTGGAAAGATGTTAAACTTCATGCATAAGATAATTACAGTTGTATGGTAGGTTTCCTCAAATGTTATTAATATCTTTCTAACATTTTTTGTTTACAATAATTTATTATTATTCAAACACAATCATGACACACCAGCCAGACCAAAGTTTTTAGTAGCAGTACAACTCCTTGTGAAAAAGACCATCTAGGGAAGCACTACCGTCTTACTATGTCGTTGAGCTGTAATGTCAGCATTATTGCATTCCAGTTTTGAAGCATAAGGGAGATGGTGAAATTACCGGCACATGGGACTTGTCAACTTGTGTCTCAGGGTAATGGGCACTGTGGTAGTGCCTCTCAGATCTTCTCAATTTAAACCTCTGAGGTCACTGCATGACTTGTTTGTCTTGTCACTTGCTATCATAAAAAAAAATTTGTTCAGATGCCTCACACACTCATGGTATTCTTTGTGGTGTATATCATTCATATGGAGATATTTATGTTAACTATGTCTCTACAAATTGAAGAGAACTCCTTTATTTCTGTACCTAACCCTTTTTATTAACTATTTTTTCAACTTTACACAGTGAAGACCACCAACAACTAGACAGACTTTGCAAAAGAAGTGATTTTTCAGAGTCAGTTGCAAAAAAACGCATCGATTGTCAGATGCCTCTTGAGCATAAAGTAGCAAAATCACATTTTGTCATTGATAACTCTGGGGATTTCGCCAACACAAGGCACCAAACAGAAAGTATAATACGATTGTTAAGAAGATCCAAATTCACTTGGTAAGCTTTTTACTTCTAACTTTCATTTTCTTATTAAGATCTCATATCAAACTTAAGTTTATGCAGATGAAGGTTTCCATGATATTGTGTCTTTTGTGTAATAATAAGTTTTTATAGTAAACATTGCATATAGTACTTTCCATAATCCTTAACAACTACTGTATACTTGTTGCACCTTTGAATGTGATTTTTTTTTTCAGGTATTTCAGAACAATATTTTTGATTGCCTGTTTATCAATAATTTTCGGACTAGCTCATGTAGTAAGTAATGTGACAAATAAAAAAATGTAAACTGTAAACAAGTATACTGAAAAATTTACAGGTGTAAGGACAAGGTTAAAGTTAGGATCCCTCAGCTTCTACTATGTTGAACTGCTGTAAATCTTAAAATGGTCTATGTGATTTATATAAATTTGCCAATATTGTTTGCAATTATTTGGGTAACGGCTTTATACTTCAAAATTGTCCAAAAATAGTTAAATTGTGAAAGTACTAAAGTATTTTAACTTTTAAACGATCAAAAATGTAATATAACTATGATTGACATCAATCATCTATGGAGATAAGAAATTAAAACTGTTGCTTTTAATTGTTTTAATCTCATAAATTTGAAGGTTATAATACCATATACACTTTAATTGTGAAGGGTTTGTTACATTAATAATTTTTTTGTCATTATTCGTAATAAGTCTAAACACAACAATGTAACTAACGAATATGATGGATAGCGCTAATAGGACCATGTTTGATCTTTATAATAGCAATGAAATATACATTTACATAGTAATAAAATGTTAATAATTAAGGCTTATTTGCCATATTAATTTTTTTTTTAGATATTACACTTAACATACACTCATACAAGTTTGTGTACTGTGTAAGGTAAATGTGGTACATTTTGTACGAAGCTTGCACGGGGGTTAATATGCAAATGCATAAATGTGTTTGTCTATTATGTGCAAGTTTTTTTTATGTGCATGTTTGCTCAAAGTGTGCATCGAGTATTGTGGTATTCATTGTTGGGTATCGTCTTTGTAGTCTTTAGGGTTTTTGTAAATTATTAAGTTGAACCTAAATTTCAAACGACTTATCGTACCCTTATAAAGCTGCCAAATTTATGTTAATGTCCTTAGCGAATGTAGGGCACCTTCAAATTAGTTGTTCGAGGAAGCGCCGCAGTAGTGCAGTCACGCAATTTTGTGAAGCGCCATTTAATTGTTGGAGATGCTTTTTATTTAACTTACACACATCAAAAGTGTCTAGGGATCAAGTGAATATTTTTGAAATAAAAGTTATTTAAGCAATATTTACCAAATCCAGTCTTCCAGGACGACTTCTTACTTTAATGCTTATGTTTTATTTAACCGCTTACCCCTATATTTAATTAAAATAAACTAAAATTGATGTTTTTGCAAATTGTGGGAAAAAACTCAAATTAACGGCGTCAATTAAATGACAAAAAAATGGCGAAAATGATGATTTTGCTCATTTTTATTGTAAAGATAAGAAAATTAATAATCTGTATTTCCACCATTAACACGAATCACAATTACAGCGATTTGGCATGCTTAAGATGAGTTCATCAAAATCACTTTGAGGAATGGCCGCCCATGTGTTTTGTAACAAGTCAAAATATTGTTATAAATATTGTACGGTATGCATACTCGGCACAGCTCTTCTTTGAAGCATATCCCATGCGTGCTCAATTGGATTGAGGTCTGGCGATTGAGCAGGCCACGGCAGAACGTTGATACGAGCTTCGGCAAGAATGCGTGTTACGACTCTAGCCGTGTGTGGACGTGAGTTGTCATGCATTAGTTGAAATGAATCACCCAACTGGCCTCGCAAAGGGATGATAACATCTGAAACAATCCCCTCTGCGTAAACTTGAGCATTGAGGTTACCCCTGATCCAAATGAGATCGGTTCTTCCGCCGATCCAAATACCGGCCCATATCATTATTGTTCCCCCACCATATGGATGAACTTCCTGACAATATCTCAAACGTTCATGACGTCCAGATGTTCTCCAAACTCGAGTACGTCTTGTATCCGGTCTCATACCGAAGCGGGATTCATCCGAAAAGCACACATAGCGCCAGTCTTCTTCCTCCCAGTTTCTGTGTTCGCGAGCCCATCGTAAACGGGTCCTGCGATTGCAGGGTACAACAGGTGGAACTCTGAGCGGCCTTCGGGATCGCAGACCCACTTCACGTAAACGATTTCGGATTGTTTGATCGCTTATTAGCAAGCCTGAGGAGCTGTGGAGCCTCGTAACCAACATCATGGCGGTCATGGTACGATTCCGTCGAGCAGTATTTTGGATATACCGGTCCTATCTGCGAGTCGTGATGCGAGATCGTCCTCCATGTCGCTCGGCCACGCTGCCCGTCATGCGATAGCGCGTCCAGAGGCGACTTATGACGCTCTGTGTAGTGTTAAGAGTGAAAGCCACAGCACGTTGCCTGGAACCAGCTTCCCACATTCCGACGGCTCGCATCATCACTTCTCGGGTTAAATGATGTCGTCTCTCCATAATAATGTAAATTGTTTCGGTTCCGATGCAGATATTGTAATGATTTTGTCAAAACGCTATAACTCATTTTTATACAAAACCACATTGACAATCGATTTTCTTCTTATTATCGAATTTTAAACAATATTCCTTATTTAAATGTTAAAACTCACTAAAAAGTATCAATAGCGATACAAAAAAGTTAATATAATTAACCCTAATTGCAGCAATACTCTTAAACGTACTTGATCCCTAGACACTTTTGATGTGTGTATTTATTTATGGATTCTGACGACACTCATTAATTACTATTGATTAATTTATTAAAACCAAGGAAGTTAGAAAAATGTTATTAGAAAGTATTAGAATCTGTGCGTTACCTTTATTTAGTCAAAATAATCAAATAAAATATATTATAATGATTTTTATTTATTTCATGAGAATGGATTGATACATGTTTATGGAGTTACAGTTCGCGGAGTTATAGTTAACTTTATAATCATAGATTTGGTTTAAAAAATTACTTTAAATGTCATACATTATTCTTCCCATGCCTTTTTCTTTTCCGATTGCATTGGAATAACTGCCAGAGCTGCTATCCCATATTGCAGGATGTAGTTTATTGTAGATAAAGTGTACAATTTGATCCACTATTATCGTGGCCAAGTAAAAAAAAACATATGCGCCTTTACTCTAGCTGTGATTGCTACTAAGGCGCAATCGACGTGGGACTGACTCTTGTGCTTCGACTGCGTTTCTAGTAATTATATGAAAATTTTCGCTTCCTCGAGCGTCTAAGGCTGCTATCAGATAGACTGCATGTTTGCAGTTAATGCGTGACGTGAAGTCGTAATCAACTTCATGCAGCCGAGACGTCGACTGCATGACGTTGATAACGACTTCACGCACTAATTGCATGCAGTCGAAACCGACTTCACGTCACGCATTAAATGCAAACATGCAGTCAATCTGGTAGCAGCCTAATTTGGCGGCACCCATACGCTATACGCGCGAGCTTTAGCTGAAAAGTCCCAGGTATTGTCTATATTTACAGGAACTCCAGCACATCCCGTACTTGTTAGATTCATTGTACCAACTATAGGTACATCATTATGCATACATAGAAAATAAATAATAACGCACATAAACATCAATGTACACGAAAGGATCTTGGTCGCTCCTAAGTTTCATAGATTTCTAAAACAGCCTTTTCTGTGCGAAAATGTTCTCACAGTTTGGCATCATTAAAACGCTGATTTATCATGTACAGTCAAGCAAACAATTCCGAATAGGATCCTATCGTTTCTTGAAGTTTTTTACGAAGTAAACAATAATAAATTGTGATATTTTATTCTTGGTTTGATTGTTTTATTTTATTTATTTTAACTGCTAAAAGGATTTGTTATTTAAAAGGTCTGATTCAATTTATCGATAATATCAATATAAATTTTAATAACGATATAGCAGCGGTTCGACTGGACAACAAATCCGCGGCTTGCATTCTGGAAAGAGATATTATTTTCCCATCAGCCACCGTGTGTCGGGCCGTCTCTTCGAGTCAGTTGCAACATTGGTGACACACTGATGTAGACTCCTAACCGGGGATTCGCCACAGGTACCTACATCCCGAAGCAATTATGCCTCGAGAACACCTGTGTCATGCGGAACGTCACTATGCCGTATTCATGATTTGATTTGATCCAACCACTCCGACAGGACTTGATGAACTGCAGAAATCAGCCGGCTCTATCATAGCATTTACTCACCTAACTCGTTTCTATGCAATTTTTGATAAAATCAATATTTGTCGAAGGCCGTGTATGTACATAAAGCGGGTCAATCAGGAGGAGGGAGATCAAACCATCTGTAATGGCCACCCAAAATGTTGAAATGAATTTATTTATTTATTTTCATTTTATTGAACTAATGTATACGGTCAATCATAACGTAAAAGATTCCCTCGAGTTACCTTTTACCACCGGGCCCTAACACAGCTGACTAGTTTGCTTAAACTTCAAGTATTTTCGGTAGTGGTAGTGCCCTCCGAGGTAGTTTCGCCCTCATTGCCACCGACTGACACATCAGCGGTAATATCGTCCACCATCGCCGTCGTCGCACCATTGCCATTGCTGTCCGGTTTCACATCAAATGTTTCTTTGACAATATCGTAGAGATTAGTGCCAAATATTGTACTGAAACAATTTTTTGTTACTCATTTATGTGCACAATACCGTTTCTACTTAAGACCACGTGTAAGTAAATTCTAAGTAACTGTTGGGACACTCACCACGCGATAAACTATGAACAAATTGTGTCTAGGTATATTATAGAACTCGATACTTTTGTTATTTTTTTTTGTTTTATTTTCACTAAAGATTTTAGTTTTGAAGAAAGTCGCGTATATAGGTAGATACTTCATGCGTTTGACATTTCCCGAAAACCTAAGATTTTTCAGTCGGTAAAAGAAAGAAAGATGTCTAAAAGCGCAAGTTATATTGAATATAACAATGAAATCGTCAACTGTTCTATGGAACAACGAAATTGGGGATTTTCTTTTAATTTTAGTCAGGCTTACTGAGATGAATCCAGTTTTTTGGATAAGTATAATAATAAAATGGTATCGAAAGTTGGTAGTGAGGTTATGTGTTCATTAAGATTTGTTGGTACGTATGATATCTAATGGTATACTTACATAAGTGATAACGTCCCCGGTTAGACAATCATGACAAAATGGAACTCACCCCTCTAAGACCCCTTGTTCCACAATTATGCGCTTGTTTACTTCCGGCGTCGTGTTGGTCGTGACGGTTTCATTTGCGTCTTGGCCTGTTTGTGAACTTACGAAACTAAAAACCATACTTTATTAGGACAGCAAATATACCTAAAAATACTAAATAGGTACTCATTGCAAATGATCATGTATCAATATTTAAAAAAAAAATTAAAATAAGGAGCCCATTAAACCGTTCATGGAAGAATGGCATAAATGGAATGGTATTACTGCTCTGTCGAGTAATGTAGATAAAGTTACAAGATTGGAGAGAATGTGGGTTATATTTTTCTGTACCTAATGGAGCAATAAACGTTTTTGACGTAACTCCACTTATGCCATTCTTCCACGATGTGTGCGATTTAACATTTTGAGCCGTTCTTATCATAAGCTACATAGGGTTGAAACTTAATTGTCAAGTTTGATGCGCTGTTATCTCGGTGCCTACTTGTAAAGTTATGTCTAGATAGAATTAATGTATGCTCACTTTATCAATAGCTGCAGAGAAAGGAATAAAGATGCAAATCCAAATACGGAAATATCCATGAAAATATTATTCATACTAAACTTACGCTTAAGAAAACAAAAAAATAGTGCGCTGTAAGCTGTAACAATGTAATATTGTAAGTACTTATTCCAAAACATGTTGCGAAAGTCGAAAATGTGTTATATAAATAATATATTCTTATCAAACCAGCATAAATGGAACGAACTGCTATGTTAGATCATTTCCTTTAGTGCATTTAGGTAAAAAGGTGCTGCAACTGGTGGTCATACTGTAGCAATTCGTTTACGTTGACGATTCTGTACAAAACTACCACGATTTATCGTAGGGCGGATGTCTCGTATTTGAAGTGGGAGTCTTCTTCGGCTCGTTCCTCCGACACATTATATATTTTATATGTAAGAAGAGTCAAATTACGTCATATGTTTTAAATAATTAAAACGACGTGCGTATATCACGACGCATGTACACTTGGTGACCAGATAGTATCATTATCGGTGTAAGAGTCGTATTCCAAAACTCTACTCTATGCTCAAGTCAGGATTGCAATGGAAACACAAGCACTGGAAATACGTATAAACTTTAATTTCAGTAGTCTCGTCAAAATCTTAAATTATAGAGCTTCTTGTGAAAGAGGTCGTCCAAGGAAGTACCTACTGCCACCTTACCTAATTCTGCCGCGTAGGAGTAATGTGAACATTACTGCGTTCCGGCTTTGAAGGGTAGTGTTGGTGAAATTACAGGCACATGGGACTTGTTTTTTTATAATACCAAGTGACGAGAATAACAAGCTGATGTTAAAGCGACACGCCTGTTCTTAAGAGTTGCAATGCCACTCTGAATTTTAAACCGCAAAGATCTAAGGGATACTGCCGCTACGCTTGTCCCCCTGAGACATAAGTTGGCAAGTCTCATGTGTCTGTAATTTCACCAGCACCCTTACTCTTCATAACCGGAACGCAGTGATGCTCACATTACTGTTACTCACGTCTTGAGTGACGGGTGCGGTGGTAGTGCCATACAAATCTTTGCGATTTACTCGTATACTAAGGACCAGGCATGTTACTTAGCACCTGGCGTACGACACGTTCGCCCCATCACTTGGCATAATAAAAAAAGCATTATCAGTATCAGTTTTTGCTGTGTAGGTACATAGGGCGCACTATAAGTTTCCGGAACTGGCCATTTACATAAACAATATTTAAAAAGTAATTACAACATTTGAAAATGGAACTCTTTGGTCCACAACAACAACTGCAACGACAATAATAATTATCCTGAAATCTCAAGAAGCCAGAAAATACTTATTTGGAAGAATTATCAAAACTTTGCAACCCAGTGGAAATTGCATATGGCCAAAGGCTGGATGCCATAATGCATAAATATAAGAAAAAAAAAGTTTGTTTTGTTTCATCTGACTGTCACTTGTTTTTACATTGTGGCGTCATTTTCGAAATTGGTTGTCTACATCACCATGGATTTAACTCGTGAAAATTTTCGTAGTATGATTTTCTACGACTTTAAGTGTAATTTAACAGCTCAGCGAAGCTTCGCTCGGCTTCAAACTGCTTTTGGCGATGAAGCACCATGCAAGACGACTATTTATAGCTGGTTTGCAGAATTGAAACGCGGTTGTGTGAATCTCAGTGACGAATTTCGTGATGGGGCGACCATCACGAAATTCGTCACTGAGATTCTCTGCTGTGAACAACAAAAACATCGATACTGTGCGCCGTATGATCAAAACAAGCATATGACATGCCATGAGATTCGGGCACCTTTAGGCATAGGCATGAGTCAAGTACAAACAATACTACACAAGCTATACTATTGTATTTGACTCAAAAAAGACCTTAAAAAAAAGTGGTGCTCTCGGCGGTTCCGATACAATTTGACTGAGGCTCAAAAAACGGATCGCGCCACTTGGTGCAATGCCAAGCTTACCAGATTCAACGAAGGGGCGTCAAATTTGGTGTAGAACATAGTAACAAGTGACGAAACAGGGATTTATAGTTACGATCCCAAAACAAAGCAGCAACCGAGCGTATGAGTCTTTCGAGATGAGCCGAAACCAATCAAAGTGGCGCGCGTGCAAAAATGCCTCTAAACGGATGATTGCTTCTTTTTTTAATAGAACTGGACACGTGGCTACTATTGCTTTGGAGAATCGTTGTACCATGAATAGTGATTGGTACACGACCATTTGTTTGCCGGAAGTTATTGACAAACTCCGTAAAAATAACCGTAAACGCCGTATCATCTTGCACTACGATAATGCCAGTTCTCACACGGCCAGACAGACAAATTAATTTTTGAAGGTGAACAACGTTGACCTTATGAGCCTTCCCGCGTACAGTCCGACCTGGCACCTTGTGACTTCTATTTATTTCCAAAAAATTAAGTACCAGTTACGCGGTCAACGACTTTCATGTTCGCCCCGTCACTGGGTATAATAAAAAAACATGACTTAATTACCATCATTAAGCGACATTAGGTACTACGGGTATTATTATTTATTTCCTACTTATGATATTCATTCGGAACCATGCTTAGTAGTCGACTGCCATTGCGACACACCGCCACAACAGACCACACAGCCAGTTGTGATGCTAAAGGTTGAGTGACAACGAACTATTAAGTGCCGGGGCGTAGGTACTAGATGTACGGTGCATTTATTTCATATTCGTATTCTTACTCAATTATGAAAATACGCCAGTCACTTAAACTAAACGAGCCCTATCAGTAGGTGAAGTCTGGTTGTGAACGACGAAGTTGATAATAATGAAGTATGTCACAAAATTATTCCCACAGATTTGCTTTTTTTAAATAACATTCTGAATGTTCAGAGTATTTTTTCCAATATCATTTTAATTTCCGGAGTAATTAGCGGAAAATCGGAATAATACATCGATTTAATCGTTATCGATACACTTATTCCGGTATGTTGTAAATAATAGTAATTATAAAAAAAAAACATGAAAAGTATAGTATCATATCAAATGAACAAACATTTTTCCCCTGCTGTTTCACATATCACTACCAAACAATGCAATGGCTTAAGGTATGGTTAAGGGTTAAGGTATGGCCGCCAATTGTTGTAATTAGTATTAAATATTATATGTGTATAACTGCACAGGAACTGGGCAAAGCCTCTTCTTTCGACTTCCAATATTCTATTAGTCATTATAATTATTTTATTGACCTCCGAGCAGAATGAAATGTTCATAGTCCATTTTCGTGTATTTTTGTTGAGAAACTCTCTCAAACTCAATCAACTGATTACACGGTCATAACACAACGCATATAAAACCAAATACTTATAATGTCGTAACTCAAAGTTGTGGAATTGAGAAAACACGATATGAAAGTTTAAAAAAGTAATGAAATGATTTTATTGGGAATAAAATGGTTATTTTGATTTAGGTAATACTTAGTCATCCATTTAGAAACGAGAATATTAATTTATTGGTATCATTTCCTAATTTTTTGAACTACCAAATCGTGTTTTTTCAATTACGCAATTTTGAGTTACGACAGTACTTGGTTTCATGTGCGAAGACGCCAAAAAACAATTACTTTATACATATAGCAAACATTGACATGAAATAAGTATTTATATAGGAATATTTGTGTTGCTGTTTGTTTTAATCTCATTGTTTTAATCCGTATTTTTATATACATTTAAAAAAAAAAATGTATTTTACATTTTAAAAAATATTAAAAGATTGGATCGACTTTTTCCGGGGTGGGCTATGCTACGCCTCCGCTCCCACGTCATGCTATGGACTTGAAGCCGCCACCCCGTGACGTGGTGTTCTAAACACATGATTTCCAACGTAGTCTATATCGAGGCAGGGGTCTACTCCATGCTACAAGGGGTGCATGCTAGCGTAAAAATAATAGGGGGTGCAAGAGACGTTAATGGGGGTCCACGAGAGTGAAACCTATTTAGGCAGGTCGTGACTATAATTTAGTCTTTCTATAAATGGAATCATCCACATTACACAGACGTAAATTTATTTTTACAACAATGCTTTTTGTATATGACATATGAATTAAAAGTACCTAAACATTTCACAACAAACAACATTATTTAATTGGATAAAATAATGCATAAAACTAATTAACATGATTTTTATGAAGATTGTCAATAAAGGTCCCCACCGGCCCGTGGCCCGATTCGCGGCCCGCGCCATGGAAATAGGGTCGCCCGAGAAAGTGAAAGGGTAAGGAAAGGAGAGTGAAAGGATATTATTATTACCGTAGGTATTAGTAATATAGGTATGGAATAAATAATTTCATTTACTCCACATTAATTTTGCGATATCTTGTCTTACTACAAAAGGAATAAACAATTTGTAGCTACATATAAAAATGTCATAAAAATCAGATCATTATATTGACTCAACCGATGTGTCCATAGGATTTTTTCTGCGTTTTTTCTTACTTTTTCCTGATTTGCTCTTCATACGAAGAAAGCTTCGTATTTTGTACGTCTGCGTTGTATTAGTAGAATTAGTGACATTGTTGGTACCTGACAGCGCTGACGATTTAAAAGGCGAAGCGGCTGTGTTGACTCTTGTCCGTAGTACGAGAAAAGCTGTAGGGTACACATCAGTATGGTTTCCATGACGACCTCCTTGTGGAGGATCTGTCGGCGTGCTTATTGTGGTTGATCTAATTTTAGTGTCAAAATTCAGTTTAGTAAAGCCAGTTTGATTGGAACAATGAGTTTCTTCACGCGGTTCGAACTTCTGCTTCACGGGATCATAGTTGTATGAACCAAATATGGCACTGAAATGTATTAAAAATGTCAATTAAACAATCACCCAGACACGCATGTAAAATATACTGTAGGACTGTATTACTAACATCATAAACAATAACTTTTCTCGATACAAATCATCGTTACTGACCTGTATCGAGACGCGTTTGTACGAATCAATGCGAAAAGCATGTCTTTTTCCTTCTTCAGTTCATGAACATAAAGTTTTTTCATAATAATTTTCATAATTTTTTTAATAAGTGTGGTGTCTCCCTAACGGGCAATAACTATACTACGGCCAATTACGTGTAAAAAACATCCGTAATCATTCCAATACTAAGTACTACTCCAGTGTTACGTAATTATTTGATTAGCCTACATTATTGTTAGGTACTCAGTTTTAGTTATAAATAAATTTCATATATTTATAATTAGCTTACGGCTTGATACCATCTTCTATTACATATCTTTTAGTTTTTACGTTGTCATCTTCCTCATCGAACCGTCCTAGCACGTACTGAAAACTTAAATAAGGCACATGTTTTTAACATTTTGATCGCTAATATTTTTTGTTGTATTTTTGTATAAAACTATCCAGCTCGTTGTATAAATGTGCTTTTATAATATATTGTTTAAAACGTACCATATAAAAATTTGAAGATAACCTACTATGCAAATCAAAAATAACATTATTACACGAGTGCTATTACCTATAAATGTGATTTAAAATACAAAAATATTTCCTAGTGCCGTTACATATTATATGATTATTGATAACCAGTCCGAATTTTATAGCTATGTATTACGTAGTTATTTTTAACTGAGTTCTTTATATAAAAATACTAACGTATTTCGCTACCTACTTACTTAGCTCCTTAGAATAATAACGCATAGAATGATAGTTTCATAAAAAACGAACTGTCACAGGTGAGGCAAAAATCAAATTCATGTAGGCGTAAGCAACTTGTATTTACGCTCGTCGGCACGCACACAAATATACAAATAATGATGCCATAGAATAACATTTCCCTCAAAAGTGGGGAAATTGTATGTTGCTTAACTCATCGTTAAGTTAGAGGTGCCTACAGATTTGCTCGATTTTGTCGATCGTTACTGTCGATCAGGTGCTTATAAATATGCTCGATTTTGTCGATCGTACTGTTGATCTACAACGTCAAGTGACAGGAATTTTCAAAAATGTATTTTTGGTAACCCTTATGGAAATGGCATTTATATCTGAATACACGAAGGCGGACACGACTTTTCTCATTTCTAAATCCAAGATGGCGGACACGTCTTTTCAAATAAATGCAAAATGGGTATCATTTTCGAGGTATTTGGGGGTGCTCATTACGATTATGGCACTCATTTCTAAATCCAAGATGGCGGGCACGATTTTTCAAATAATAGCAAGTTGGGTGTCCATTTCGAGGTATTTGGGGGTGCTCATTAAGAACATGGCACTAATTTCTAAATCCAAGATGGCGGGCACGATTTTTGGAATAATGGCAAGTTGGGTGTCGTTTTCAAGGTATTTGGGGCTGCTCATTCCGAATATAGCACATATTTCTAAATCCAAGATGGCGAAGAATTAGAAGTCTTGTCCGCCATCTTGTATTCAGATATACATGCCATTTCCTTATGGTTTACCAAAAATACATTTTTGAAAATTGTTGTCAACCATCTTGGATTTAGAAATTAATGCTACATTCGTAATAGAATAGAATGGAATGGAATGGAATGGAATGGAATGAAATGGAACGGAATGGAATATAGAATGGAATGGAATGGAATGGAATGGAATGGAATGGAATGGAATGGAATAGAATGGTATAGAATGGAATAGAATGGAATAGAATGGAATAGAATGGAATAGAATAGAATAGAATAGAATAGAATCGTTTATTTCATGTTATCAATGTCACAATATTGCAATTGGAAATACAATGTCAAGGGATAACTATGATCGTCAGTAATAAAATTATAATAATAATAATATATATAAAATAAAGTAGTATAACTACTGCTTGTCGAATAAAATAAAATTAAAATTGTTTCAAAAGAAACTCATCGACACTATACAATTCAATATCCACTCTAAAACACAATAAGCACTCTAAAACTCCTCGAAAACGTCTATAATTCTCAATCGTTACTGTCGATCGACAATGTCGAGCAAATCTGTAGGCACCGTATTAAATACCACCCAATTTTTATTTAACTCATATATGAACAAAAACCTGCAAGCGAGTTTAAGTGCGACTATCGAGTTTGAATATATAAATAGCCTGATATTATCTGTGGGTATGTGTACATGAAAAGTACACGATAACAATAAAGAAACTGAACTTGAAAGTTATTTATACACGATTTTGGAGAAATGACGATGACTTTTTAGTCAGTGTTAGTTTCCTGAAATAATTTTAGTTAAGAACTTTTGAGTCTGGGCAAGACAGTTTTTTTAAATGAGTGTATGAAGAACAAGAATAATGATTTTTCACATGAAACTAATGAAGGCAAATACTAAATATATTTCGTAAAAATAGCTAACGTAAATTCCCTACAATGTTATTGCGGCGGTGTACATTTGTAGATATTTTGCAACGGTCGCGTTATTGTCTATTCTCAAAAAATTACGTAATATAATTATTTTGAAACAGAATAGCAAAATGGGGAGAAAAAACCCGTTACTTTGCAACATTTTCGTATCTTGTTGCAACGAAATTAATTTTCTGTTTTAGTGAATATTTACATAAAAATACAAGTTGAAACGCGTTACTTCCTTGTGGAATGTGATGTTAGTGTCTATTTTATATTTGTCTGATCTATTTTTAAATCCAATTACCGCACATTTCGTCATTTTTAGCAAAAATTTTTGAGCTGTTCGCGGGGCAACTTGACCTTGAGCACTGACTGCCCGCTCGCTCGTGTAGGCCCATAGGGCGTCCTACAATTTGCCTCACTTAGCGTGTGCGGGCTAGGTTTCTATGCGTTATTATTCTAAGCTTAGCTCCATGATCACGTAATATGAAAATCTGGTATAATACTTTTCACTCGCGTTGAAAAATTCACAAAATATACCAATAACTGATCAATCACAATCACAAAGTTATTTGTTCTTTAATGTTGGAAAAAGAAAGAAGACTATTTCTATCGAGTAAAGTTATACCTTCTTCTGTGTCCCGTACTATCCTTTCCTACACAAATATTAAGATTCACATGATGCACCTTCCGCATCGTCATGAGGCTTCTGTTTCATACCAAAACACACATATACAGAAGAACTGTACTAAATAACTATTTACGCAAACTAATCTAATGTTTATGTACACAATGTCTGGACACTTTTAAATTATTTTTTCAAAAATAAAAACTCGAAATCTCGACCGCCAACACCATGCCAACACCGAAGTTTGCCGCGCTTGTTTCTTTGAACATATTGAAAATTTTGATGGTGCGTCACCATGGCCCGTGAAAGTATAATATCATTGGCCCAAGATGTCAAACGTGCCAATTTGTATGGGCGAACTCATGAAACGGGCGAATCCGAGCAGCTTCGGAACGAACGCGCGTGGCGGCGCGTATTCGGATTTGTATCGAGAACATAATATGTGAACAAAGGCGCAACCTATATTATACGTGGCGAAACGGATCATGAGCCGTGGGAAGCCAAAGTGAAAGAAAAGAAAACTAAAGGGAAGCAGGAGTCTTATAATTATTTGCCCAGATTGTCCTCGCAACATACAAGTGGGAGTGTAGAGCAGCCTTTCCCAAAGTGGTCGATAACGCCCCCTTGTGGGCGCTGCAGGCCTAAAGGGGGGCGGTAAGTGACCCAGAAAAAAATAATGGAGGCGTTGTGTAGAGGCTTAGGGGGAGATTTGTAATTTCATCTAGGAAAACTCTTAGACACCGAGTGAGCTCTCGACTCTCGACTACAACTTGTGAACTTAGAATAATAACGCATAGAACGATAGTTTCATATCAAACGAACTGTCACAAGTGAGGCAAAAACCAAATTCATGTAGGCGTAAGCAACTTGTAACTACGCTCGTCGGCACGCACACAAATATACAAATAATGATGCCATGGAATAACATTTCCCTCAAAAGTGGGGAAATTGTATCTTGCTTAACTCATCATTAAGTTAAAGGTGCCTACAGATTTGCCCGACATTGTCGATCAGGTGCCTACAGATATGCTCGGTTTTGTCGATGAAAAACGAATATAGCACTTATTTGTAAATCCAAGATGGCGGACACGATTTTTCAAAATATGCTATATGGGTATCCTTTTCGAGGTATTTGGGGATGCTCATCATTTGACACGTGTGGCAAAGTTGAATAAAGAAGATAAGAGACCTCGTATGATTGTTGCTAAGCTGCGAAGCCCCCGCCTACGGGATATGTTACTAGCTGCGGTTCATAATTTCAACAAAAAAAACCGCGATGATAAACTTGGATCGCATCATCTTGGTTTGGCAGGGAAGAATACTCCAGTTTTTGTGGCTGAACATCTAACGCCCACTAACAAATCATTGCACGCTGCAGCAAGAAAGAAAGCCAAGGAGATGTCTTATACTTTTGTTTGGGTTCGGGGTGGTCGAGTTTATGTAAGGAAGGATGAGACGAGTCAGGCGTTACTCATTCGTAATATGGACAGTATAAAAATGATTAATTAGTCTGGTGTGTTCTTTTCAGCACACATTTAACAATGTTTTGGTGTTTCACTTTTGTATCAATGCTAACTTTCTACTACCAAAATACTCGTGGTTTAAGAACTAAAACCAACGATTTGTACGGTAACGTTTTGCAGTGCTCATATGATGTAATAGTTTTTTCTGAAACCTGGCTTAATTCCAACATATTTGACAATGAATTATTTGACTCGAGGTATGTTGTTTACAGACGAGATCGCCAGACAGTTGGTAAAGAGTCCAAGTTGATTGGAGGAGGTGTGTTGATAGCAGTATCGCGTAAGCTACAGTCGAATAGATTAATGCAGTACGAAAGTGAATGTGAAGATATATGGGTGTCGGTTAGTGTGGATATTGAGGGAGTTTCCAAGAAACTTCACATATGTGCTGTATACATACCTTCTCCACCTAAGTGTGATACGGTCAAGCGTTTTCTTGATAACACCTGTAATGTCATTAATTTGGTTGGTGATGTTGTTGTAATGGGAGATATGAATCTTGGTGGTATTGAATGGACAAATGCCCTAGATGGTTGGCATATGTTACTATCTAACTACCATAATGCTATGGAAAATGCTTTGATAGACTTTATGCATATCAATAATCTTCGTCAGTACAACGGCATCCGTAACCAGAATGACAGAATCTTAGATATAGTTTTGAGTAATGTATGTTATGGGAAAGTTACTCCGCCACTAGACTTACTTAGCAGACTGGATTTGCACCATCCGCCAATTTTGTATACGATTGATAATGTTGGTCCTACCATGTTGCGTAGTAAACCGTATACTAATTACAACTTTTTTAAGGCCGACTATGACATTATTGTTGGGGAGCTTATGAATATTGATTGGTCCTATGAGTTTCTTGGGTGCAGTACAACGGACCAAATGGTTTCTGTCTTCTACGGTATAACACGAGGTTTGATTGAACGATGCGTACCAAAATGTAAAAAAAAAAGGTCAACACATCCTTCTTGGTTTACTGTGGCTCTAATTAGAATGC